ATGGTTGCAAAATCCATTTTGCACCACCGTTCAGAAACCCTGGAATGATTCGATTCCCCTATAAATACCACCAAAGGTTATGGTGTTAACCATGAATGCATTTCGTGGCGCGAAATGGATTTCGTGCATCCACAGTATGACTGGCCTGGATTCGGCGTCTAAAGCTGCAAGGGAACAGTTCAGCTTGTTTCCAAGAAACCAACTACAAGACATGTCATTTTACAGGAATCCTGCCGAATTTGGTGGGTGTTTGGCTAACTTCCAGTCAAATTTCCTCCAGCTGGTTTCTATGTGTGCTCCTTTCCTTTGATTGTTTTCCCGCGGCAACGCCTCTGCATGTGCGGGCTGCAAATCAAGCTGCCGGGCCGAACGCCGGTTACGCCGGTTGCGCCGAGCGCCGAACGCTGCGCGGGGCGGGTATCTACTCCTTAAGCTGGTTGGAAAAGTGAAGCTATATATGGGTATGGGTCAAACTTAAACCACCATGGGACCACAGGTTTAATGCATGTTTCCATTTACCAGGGTTCCTATTTTGAGCACGTATTTTTGACCCACTGCCATATGCATCTCGGGGTTGGAGATCTTCCGACCTCTTGGCGCTTCCTATGGGAAGACACCGAAAGGGGGCAGCTTTAGCTTGGCTTCCTGTAAGAACACCATCTAGGAGCCCCCAACACCACCCTAGCCATATATATATATATATATATAGACATATACATATATTGACTATATTATAGCTAGACAGCTTTCCCTTCCAGGCCAGGTCCACATGTTTGTGCGACACCATGTATATATATATATATACATATTTGCAAATCATGTTCCAGAGGTGGGATCCGGAGCTTTTGCCAGGTCCCCTCCGGTCACAAGTTTGAGGGAACCTCCTGTTCAACGCTCGTAAGCGATCGCAAGGTCTACAAGCCGTCTGCACAATCACACACGCGCGCAAGCCTGTGCGCGCCATGTAAAGCCAGTAACCTTCTACATGACTGGACGAGCTATGTCACGGTCAGAATAATCACCGCCCTTGATACATCTGCAGTCCCCACGCGCGTCAGCTCGGTTGGCGCAGGGAGCTCCACGAAATGAATGGAGCCCAAGGGAAGCAGGCGCGATTTGGGAAGGTCACCCGGGCTTTGGCGGTAATGTGTTGAAGGGTTATGTTTTCTGGGGATGAATGGTTAACAGATGTTAACAGACAAATTTGGGTTGAGTACGTTGAGTGTAAGAGGATACAAGAAAGGACAAGGGGCCAAAGGGGCTAGGGGCTATACGGTTGACAAATCAGCCAGCAAGTCGTTGCACGCCACGTAGCCAACGATATCCGTCTCAATGCGTTGTACAGTTCTCCCTCTGCGCTGACGGGATGAGAATGCTGACCCAAGTGGAGGTCTGCGAATAGATGTCTTTGCTGTTCACAACCAACCATTGAAGATCCAATCTCAAAATGGGAATTGAATTGGACCCCCAATATGAGTGGTTTTTGTTTTGTTTCTCGTTTACCCACCTAAAAAGGGTGCCCCCAAAAAAAAGACTCAACCATGCGGTGGGTGGGGGTGATTCATGACAAAACGCTGGGGCCAGGTTTGGACATGTCATTCTCGGCCCTCAAAAATCATCAACAATTCTGCGGGAAACACGTCCTTCGGTAAGAGGTCGCATCTTCCATAAAGTCCGCAACCATAGTGCAACATGCGAGGGCCTTTGGCAGCCTGCACCTTTGAGGGACATGGGCAACTTGGTGTTAGGGCCAATTTATTGCCAAGGAAATTCCCCTGGCAATGACAAAGCAGTCACAGGAATGACCCACTTTGGTATCACAGAGATTGCTATTTCCCACGACCATGGGGGGCCATTGACACCGACGGTTACAAGGGCAGTGCGGCGCGTGCCTCGTGCCTCGTAGAAGCCCTAAACCCTGATAGAAAAAAGAAGGCCATGTTACTTGTGCGTCGAAAGACAACACCAAGGTTCAAAGCTATGCACGAAGCTCTCACCGATAGCCGAGAGCTGAGGGGCCTGGGTGACCCGTGAAAAGAAGACGGATCCTGGCATTCCCTGTGAACCTAGTCGGGACTGCGCTTTGCGGCCCATACGTCAAAATGTTTAACTTGTATTATATGATCAATTAATCCACATGTATTACAAAAAGCAATCGATTGTCATTGATTGTGTACAAGAAGCTAAGGCCTACTTTGGTGGTCTTGTCATATATATGACAGTGTAATACTGTGATAACGAGCTGGTAAGGTTTAACCTCACTCATATTTATTAGGAAGATTACTTCAGGGTCAATTCCGGATTCATCAATGTGAATTAGAGGGGTGCGTCCCCACCCCCACCGGAGTGAAGAGTTGTCTCTTGCATAAGCCACACAAAAAAACATCTGCATCACCACTTATATCGATTCCAACGGGGCACCTTTTCATCAACTAGGGCTTTCTGGATATATTTGGTTTTTGTGGTACACCTTTTGAGTGTGTTTTAAACGGAAACCGCA